TCACCGTAACCATTCGGGTTAGGTCCTTTAGACTTCCCTCTGGATTTTGATTGGCCTCGTCGTCCCCTACCCTTCTTCTGTGCACGCCCTTGTGCCTCGACATGCAGAGCACTCTCACTGCTAGATGCCTCAACTCCTGAGACTTTGCGGCGAGATTCTTCATCCAGAATTGCTCCAACCACTGTGTCGAGCTTCATCTTGTCATTGCCATTAGCGTTGCTCACCGCCATCACCATATTCTCCCATGAATCTGGTAGAGAAGAAAGTAGCAGAAGAGCTTGGATCTCGTTGTCGAACTTTAGATCTACTGCAGCAAGCTGTTGCATCACAGCCTGAAATTCGTTCAAGAAGTCTGCCACGCGAGCTCCTTACTGCATCTTGAGATTGAATAGCTTCTTCATCAGGTACACTTTATTTGAAGCAGACGGCTTCTCATACAACGCCTCCAAGGCCTCCATCAACTCCTTGGTGGTGATCGCATGCGAGACGTTGTAAGTCACATGCTGATGAAGGTTGAGCCTGATGGTGGCAAGTGCTTTGCGATCGAGCACCTTCCACTTATCGTCGTCCATCTTCTCAGGTTTCCCCGCCTCTCCTTGGAGTGGTAGGAAGAGATCCTTCTGGTACAAATAGTCTTCTATTTGCATCCTCCAATACCTGAAATTTTGACCGCCGAATTTCTCAATTCGAATCCTGTTGTCTTCAACTGTAAATCCCATGGCGAAAGATTGTCCTTCCCGTATTTGTGAATAGTACCGTATTCGTGAATAGTACCGTATTCGTGAATAGTGCCGTATTCGTGAATAGTACCGTACACGTGAATAGTACCGTACACGTGAATAGTATCCAATACCTTAAAAGAGTAAATATTAATCTAACTTATTTTCTGATATGGAGGATCCACTTTTAGTAGCAGCCACAGAGCATACGATAAGCAGATATATATAGTCAGGTTCTGATACCAGTTGTTAGGATACACCCCAATAAGAATACCTCTAACGGAGACGCAATACACAAAATAAAGGCACAAGATCAACCAGAGTACTCACAAATATACGTGGTTCACTCCTTCGGAGCTACTCCACGGTGCAACGACGACGCCAAATTCTTTTATATCCCAAAAGAATAGATCCAAGAGAACACCCTCTCTTGATCAGATACACTCCAAGAACTCTCACAAACTCTCTCTGTGTTTTCTCTTACTCTTCTATAAGAGGAGTTGTTTCTGGGATGAAATTTTCTTAAGAGTTTAGGACCCTATTTATAGTGTTTGGGAAATACTATGCACAAATAAAATATTGTCAATGGGACCCGCCACTAATAATAAAATATTTGTGGGACCCACCACCTTTTTCATTCTTCTCAAAAAACGGCACCGAATTCTCAAATGTCAACAAAGGCGACAAGGGTTGGCTGGCTGGGTCCAAAAAGGCTGCGGCTAACAGTTATTTCATTCCAGTATGATATTTCTAAAGTCTGAAATTGAAATCAACATGCCATAAGACCATCTCCAGCAGGTAGGCAAATTTTTACCTATTTTGTCATGCCACATCAGCTTATTCATCCAACACATCATTCAATAACACCCATTTCCCTTCCATTCCTGCAGCAGCTAGTTTTTCAGAAAGTTTTTTACTTTATTAGGGACCCACATGTCTCCATCATATACCCCACCATATTTCTCCACCATATTTATTCATTTATTTTTCCCTATTTGATATATGTTATTATTATTATTAAAATTATTATTCATATATTTATAATTATTAAATTTTTTAATAATGCAATAAAAAATATATAATATTTAATAATATATTTTTAATTTAATTTTTTATATCAAAAATTCAAAAAAAAAATAAAAACAAAACACACGATATTATTAATCACACCCAATACCAAACATACACGAATTACTAAAAATATTGAAGAAAACACATAGTAAATTGGTAACTCTAATCGAGGGTTGTTCCAAATTTCTGCCAAATGTGCTCGACCAGATCCTTCTTCAACTGAATATGTTGGACCCTATCTCGCAGCTCGGCTCTAGTCGGAATATTCGAATCGGACCGGCCTTGAACATGCACTTAAAACTCAGGCAATACTTCTGTTTGAACATTGAAAGAGGCACTAGAGCCTGATGACTGTTCGAAGTCTAGATTTTTCCAGTTTCGGGAATACGTATCTCGTTCATCCTCTACTATCATGTTTTGTAAAATAATGCACGCCCCTAAGACATCAAGGTCCCACATTCTAGCTGGTTGGCGGACAATAGCAAACCGTGCCTGGAGAACCCCGAATGCGCGTTCCACGTCCTTCCTGCATGACTCTTGTTGTTTGGCAAAAAATTGCTGTTTGTTTCCTTGGGGCATTTGAATTGACTGGACGAAGACAGGCCATTTAGGATAGATTCCGTCAGCAAGATAGTATGCAAGATTGTATTGTCTCCCATTCACAGTGAAGTTTACCCTTGGAGCTTCACCCGACTCAATGTCGTCGAAAACTGGCGACCTATCTAGTACATTTATATCATTTAATGTACCAGTCAACCCAAAAAAAGCATGCCATATCCACAAATCATATGAGACAACTACCTCAAGGATAACTGTTGCTGTTACCTTGTGTCTACTAGTAAACTGTCCTTGCCAAGCCTTTGGACAATTCTTCCATTGTCAGTGCATGCAATCGATACTTCCAATCATCCCAGGAAAACCACGATCATGGCCAACTTGGAGCAACCTCTGCAAGTCATCCAAATTTGGCCGTCTTAAGTATTCATCTCCAAAACAGGCTATTACCCCTTCACAAAACTTGCGAGTACACTCAATTGCAGTGGATTCCCCTATCTTCACGTACTCATCACAAGTATCCGCTGCCACTCCATATGCAAGCATGCGTATGGAAGCCGTACACTTTTGGATCGGCGTTAAACCAAGCTTTCCCGCATTATTGCGTCTTTGAATGAAGTAGTTGTCATAATTTGATATAGAGTCCACAATCCGCAAAAAAAGTGGCCTCTTCATTCGATACCTCCGTCGGAATTGTTCGTCAGTGTAGGTGCATGACTCGACAAAGTAGTCGGCCATGAGCCTCTCATGAGCAGCATGGTGATCTCTATATATTGATTTTCTCTTATGGGGTTCTTCGCTTCTCCTTTGCAATTCTTCAAGAAGTTCTTGCTGCCTATCAAGTATTTTTCCTTCTAGCTCCCATTGTCGTTGGAACTCTTCGAGATCAAAGCCATTTGGGGGTAGATCCATTGGGTTATTTGAAGAAGAAGGTTTGAATTGTTAAGTGTTGATAGTGAGTGGTTTTCATATGATGTGTGATACATTATTTATAATGAATGACCTACGGATTCCAATAAGTTGAATGAAAGGATTAGGTATGGTTCAATTTCAGAAGCTAGTTGGTAGATATGGCCAGATTCATTTTTGTAGTATAGTGGCTAGACTTGTCACTTTTAATTTCAGAAGCTAGTTGGCAGACATGGCCAGATTCATTTTTGTAGTATAGTGGCTAGTCTTGTCACTTTCAATTTTAGAAGCTAGTTGGTAGATATGGCCAGATTCATTTTTGTAGTATAGTAGCTAGACTTGTCACTTTTAATTTCAGAAGCTAGTTGGTAGACATGACCAGATTCATTTTTGTAGTATAGTGGATAGACTTATCACTTTCAATATCAGAAGCAAGTGGGTAGACAAGTCATTTTCAATTTTCAGAAGCAAGTGGGAAGACATGGTCAGATTAATTTTTGTAGTATAATGCATAGACTTGTCACTTTCAATATCAGAAGCACGTTGATAGACATGTCACTTTCAATTTGAAACAGTAAAACACACAATATGGAACTTAAAGATCAAACAGATCCTTCTTCAACGTGTTATAAACATACTCATCTTCTTCATCACGATCTTCTTTGTTCTTCAAGATCATCCACACCTCCAACTTCTTAGCATAAGCAGCTTGTTTCTGACCTGCGGCGTACTCCAACATCGCTGAAACGAGCAGATGCTAGATTGGAGAACTCATCTTCAATTGCCACTTTTGATTTCCTTGAAGTGGATGATTTACTAGAGGAAGCTCTAACTTTCTTCTTTCTTGCATCCCTACCCTCTGGACGGACAAGGGTAGGAATGGAGGATTCAACATCTTCGCCACTACTCTTTCTTTTAGAGCCACTACTACCCGATGCATTTGTTCCAGTCATATATCTGGGTTGATTTCGCACCACCTTCCACTCTTCCTCCAAAATAAACCTCGTACCTTGTAGGTGTTAAAAAATGCCCATTTCCCCTTGGATATGTAGTTTTCATCAGACCAACCACTACACCTCTCTCTACAAGCAGTACTGTAACAGCCAACAAAACTGCTTATCTTAATTAGAGCTATTGCCAAATTTAATTTGTATTAGATTACAAAATGTCAAGTGAAATTAGGAGAACTACTTGTTTTGAACTTGAAGTATAATTTTGCAAACTTCTGCTACTTTAGACTGATGCCTTGTCTAGCTGTCTGCTACTTTAGACTGATGCCTTGTCTAGCTGGACATCTTGTGTAGAGAAGGGTGGAAGAATTAGGCTCTGTTCAAATAAAGAAACTGACATGAAAAAGCTGATGACTTTTATTTCTAATTGTGAGTTATATCACATTGCAAAGCAATTCAACAATTTGTTATAATCGAATGAATGTGGAGGTTATTTCATTCCAGTATGATACTTCTGAAGTCTGAAATTGAAATCAGCATGCCATAACAAGTAAATAACAACACCAAAGGGATATTTTCTATTTTGCTAATCCAGAGGAAACAGCATTATACTTAGCATTGTTGGAGAGCAAAAGGTCATTTATAAGAAAAGTTAAACCATTTGATTTGCTGTCTACATCTTTGATTAGTTGTTAAATAGTTTGTTTTTACCTTAAGAAAGTAAGTTGGTGGAGGGCATATACTAGTTTATGTGAGAGATGTAATATTCAGAAAATAACTAGATTTCTTCACTCAGCCTCAAGTATCTGCAGCCACTGTAAGTTTCGAGAAGGAGACAGCAGTAGTATGTGTTGTTCCTGAAGTAAAGGTTGCGAATGATTGGCAGAAGGAATTGGGAGAAAAGCTTGCAAACCACTTAACAACTTGTGGATTTAAGTCCGGCCTTCAAGGTGATTTTTTATTTTCATATTCAGAATTATCAGAATTATCAGGCCCTTGACTTGTTTTGTTGTTCTGTTATTGTGCTTGGAGATTTTTATTTTCGTATTGAGATGCTTTTGGATTCATAAATATTATTTCACATCTTAAAATCTAGCATTTTCTTAGTGATCGTTCCACTGTTCAAGATTAATAATTTTGCACTTATGTCATTATGAGACGAGATGAAACAGCTACATTAGGTCATAATAAATAGTTATAATTTAGGTTCAAGATACTTCACAATATGTGCAGAGTTATTTCTGTCTTTGTCCTGGGTTTTTTATTCAATATGCCAATCAAAGAATATTGCAAAATTTCCTGTATATTCTTTTCTGCGTAAGTTATTTCCACTATCTTGGACACTCATAAACTTCTTTTGAGAGAGAATATACATCAACTGGAACTGAGGAAAAGGAAGAAATTACATAAGCTATTTCTCACTTGTAGAACCAGCAATGTAGCATCTACCATGCACAAACTCCTTTTTACTGATCTCTTAAGAATCTCTTTTTTACCTTTCGAACACTTCCAGTCTTACGAATTGAAGCCGTCGTAACATGTTGCAACTTGCCTAGCAGAAGTTTCTTTCTTTTTTTTCCCTTTTTTTCCTTTTCTTTCTTTTCATAAACCTGCAGTACTAACTAGTTTACTAATTGTTTGTCTTCCTTTTGTTTATTTCCCTTCTTATGACTGTGCCTATCACATTGTCCAATGAAGTAAGAGTTTTTATTGAGTTCATTTAATCTGTTGCTCGATGTTTCAGGCATTCCTTCCAACACTTGACTCCCAAGTCCCACCAAGTCAATATAACAAAAACCTCAATCTGCTGTCTTTGTATGTGATTAAAAGTGAAATTGGGGTTGCTGGGCTAATTAATTGCAAGACATTATTACATCCAATTATAAAGAGTAAATCCCTTCAAGCAATATCTGCCTGCTCCTCGGGAAATCTGGTTCCTTCATGAAATATATGCCCAGTTCGCTTCTCCTATAGATTCAGCTTATAACTACCTGCTTAACCCCGTCTTCACTTGAATTGGTGCTTCCACCTAACTGAACAACTTTCATACCCCACAGTGAATAGATGGCACTGGTTTGGCCTGAGAACAATCTGAGTGCTGCATTGTTCCCACCAGCCCCAGAAGGCTCTCATCTGATCCGTGTTTGACATAAAAACAATGTTAAGAAGACAGTACTCAGACCTGGGGGTTTTTATATCAATAAGAACAATTGGCTGGATGAAACCTCAGTTGGAGCCGAGTTACCTCAACCAACTTGTGTAGGATTTAGGTTGTGCCTATTTTCATTTGTTTCAATAAAGTGAGAGTGTAACCTTATATTGTGGTGATAGAATGTTAGACCTGTACACATTCATAAGGTTCCAGAATCACTTGTGACGTATTTGGTATATCAAGGTTGCACTTGGATGAATTATTAATTGCACTAACAAATTACGATAATTGCAATTATTGATGATGAATTTGGTTATCGTCCAGTCTACTTCTGTTAATAAAAGTCACTGACAAGATACTGATGCAAGTTTGACACAGTGCAGTTTTTTAGTGAGACTTTCCCATCAGTAAGAAGCCTAACTTTACAAGAAAATGAATTTGTCTGAGATTTTCCCTAACTGAATGACCCTCTTGAAATGTTTATCCAGCAAGTTATTCATAGTCTGAAAAACCAATTTGGTCTGCGTACTAGGCTTTCATTCTCAAATTGGTCCCCCTGGTCCCCCCACTTTATTTTTTTCTCAACCTGGTCCTTGTACCACTGATGTAACCTTAGTCCTATTTTAATTTTTGGTTAAAAATCCGTTAAATAGGAAATGAAAAAGACAATTATCCCCTAAACCCATATTTCCTCATAATTAAAAGGTCTATAATTTTATTGAGGTAAATGCTATTCCTTTTTCATCAATGAATGATTTTTTTTTCCTGTCAAATATACAACATTCACTGCTTTATTAAAATTTACCTCATCACTATCGAGTACTTGACTCCTACATTAAGGGTGACCGCAGCCACCACATGCTCTTTGACATCCTCAGTGGCAGCATCTTCAACTCCGATAGCTATCTGGAAGCTCCAGCAATGCATCACCATCCTCAAGTTCAGCACCCTATCCTTAACTAATTAGAGTAGTCGACTGTAACAATTACAGGGAGTGTATTCAAGGCTCCTTTTTCCATTATCTCTGCTTTATGCTCTTTCATATTTCTTATAATAGTATAAACATTAGAGCCTCTCTCTATGTGTGCTTGTGTTCAATTATACGTATAGGATGAGGCAGATGATAACTTCTTTGAAATTGCACAAACTGAAACACAAATAAGCACCCATGCACACTCTGTAACTTCATCCGAAGTTCCACATTTTGTGTAGATGAGGCTTTGTTAGGTAACCTAAACTATAAATGAGGTATCTTATAACATCGATCAAAAGCAGGTAGACGCCACACATGAGCAAGATAATACTGGAAGGAACCTCCAAGCAGATGGGATGTTTTACAAGTCCTTCAATATTGATATATAATAGGGGAAATTGCTTCTGGCCATTTGATAATCACATTTTTATTACAATTTTATACCCTCATTATTTATTTTTAATGAATAAATATACCACTAATAATTGTTTTTATCTTTAATTGCAGGTTAATGAAGAATAAAGCCAAAGATCTCTTCTCTAAACAAAAACTCATGAATTAATGAAGAACACAAGCAAGAGCCAAAAAGTCCAAGCCTAGAATCAAGCCGAGTAGCCTATGGAAGCCGGAGAAAATAAAAAAATCAAATATGAAAAAAATATATTCAAGATAGTTAGCCGCAAAGAAACAACGATATCTCTCAATCCGGAAGACGAAATTTAACATATAATATATGAAAATCGCCTATCTCGACGAGACGAAGCCATCCGTGAAGGCAGAAATTTGATAGGACATCGATGCGGGCATCGATGCCAGCATCGATGCTGGCATCGATGCCAGCATCGATGCTGGCATCGATACTGACAGTTCTGTTACGAATTAAGGGCTGATTTTTGATTATTTTGGATAAGATTTTAATCCAATGTTTCATATTCATTGATGGTTATTATAAATAGGGGTAGAGAGTGAGAGGTTGAGAGTATAAAAATTTTTATAACTCCATTTGGAGAGGAGGATCACTCTTAGGGGGGGTTATTGGTTGGGACAAATTGGGGTCAAGGGGGGAAAGTGTTCCGATGAAACAATTTTATCCCTTTGGGATATTTTGAGTGGGGGTAAAATGGGATAAAGTGGGATAATGGGATAATTTTAGCATTTGATTTGACAATTCATGTGGTATAATTGATGATGTGGCATCTTATTAAAATATAATTTTATCTATTAATTACTTCTAAATTAACTTATCCAATTGGTTTAGTATATTATTATAATATAAATATTATTTTACTTTATATTAAAATATAATATATTGTACTTTACTTACAAATTACTATTATTAATTATTATATTGTATTGTATTATATTATATTAACATGCTATACTATATATAATAATTAATATAATGTAATATCAATATATTTAATATAATATTTTAATAATATAATATTTAATATAATACATTATTTTATTTATATAAAAATATAATATGTTATATAATAATTACTAATTAACATTATATTAGTATGCTAAATTATATAATAATTGATATAATATATGAATAATATATTTAATATAATATTTTAATAATATATTATTTAATTTAATATATTATAATATAGTATCATAGGATATAATGTACTAATTAATATTATATAATAATATATTACATAATATTATTAATATATGTTATTAAAATATTATATATAATATATGAATAATATATTTAATATAATATTTTAATAATATATTATTTAATTTAATATATTATAATATAGTATCATAGGATATAATGTACTTTATAAAATATTATAATATTTTACTTTATTGAAGTAATATTTTTTAAAATTTTAAAATATTATATTAAAATTATATATATATAACATGATAATTACAATAATATATATTAATAGGTATCATGTTATAGTATAATATATTATATTATTTCAAACTATAGTATTATATTATATTATATCATAATATTTTACTAATATTAGTAATTATTATATTATATTATAATAGTATGTCATATATATAATAACTATAATAATATTTTATAAATTAATTATATAATAATGTATTATATAATAATATATGTTATTAAAATATTATATAATATTATAATAAATACGTTATACTATAATTACTAATTAATATTATATAATAATATATTACATAATATTATTAATATATGTTATTAAAATATTATATAATATTATAATAAATTAGTTATACTATAATTACTATTATATAATATTATTAATATATGTTATTAAAATATTAATATATGTTATATTTTATATATCACATCATATATTTATAATATAATTAGCATGTACTAGTTAAGTAATACAAAAATATTTTAAAATTATTCCAATTGCTTTCAAAGTGAAACAACATTGTTCCAATATGAATGATGGAGTAAATTTGGGGTAATTATGAGTAAGGGGTGGAGGGGATCTTTATATAGTTGGTGTAATTTAGGGGAAATTGGAGTATTTGTCCCCCAATTATCCCAACAAACTAATAACACCACAAAGTTAACTCCAATTCCAATTATCCCAATGAATAACACCAAAAAATGATGTTCCAAAAATTATCCCATTATCCCCCAAATTACACCAATGAATAACCCCCCTTAATTGAGAAGGTCTTTCAAATTTGTAACTTTTGTTACAATTAATAAAATAAATTTTTTACCACTTTAAATATTTCTTCTCTTTGTTGGATGATGAAGATGGAGATAAATAATTATTTGGAGGTTTACATTTCTTTTATTTTTCTCTTTTATTTTTTTAGTAATTTCTTTATTATTGTTTATTAGTTAGATTTACATTCATGCTTGTAGTGTAGATTTATCTTCTTGTCTTTTTATTTCCTTTTTGCACTTTAATTTGTAGAGTAGATTTATTTTCTTGTTCATAGTTTAGATTTTTTTTCTTTTTATTTTTATAATTAGTTCTTTTTCTTCTTGTTTTTATTTCTTAAGATGTGAAATTAATTCTTATAGGAATCTTAGAATTGTATGAAACTAGTCTAATTTCCTTTATGTTATGCAAATTATTCTCTTACATTTAAAATGATCATGTATATGATAATCAACTAGAGAACTAATTGATAGAAGAAGAATTTGATAATCTATGCTTATCTTGAGTGGTTTGATATGTTATACTTATGAATTCTAGGATTACTATTTTGTTGTTGTTCTTGTCATGAATCTAATTTTGCTTAGATGATAATTTGATAGGTTATACTTTTCTTAAATGGTTTGATAGTCTATGCTTAATAAATCTAAAGTGAAATATGATAAAAAGAGAATAGTTTGTATTTTGTAATTGAGATTAGCTAATGGATTCAATTCTAGATTTCTCATATTGAATCCTCCATCTTTTGTTTTCTTGTTTTTCTCTTTTTTTATTCTTGCTTTTTGTTTTATTCTTTGATTCTTTCTTCTCTCCCCTAAAATTCAATTTATTGTCTCTTGCATATATTCACAACAATCATTCCTCGTATCTCTCCACAATCATAATTTTCATCACTCCTAATTGTCACACACAAAATATAAGAACCGATTTTAATTTTCTCCTACAAACACCTTCCTCGTGAGATTGATAACTTTTTATACTATAACTTGATTTATTGTGCACTTTTAATTTTTGGGTATATGTTTATGCCGCATCACCCCTAATTTTCTTATAAGTATTTCGCCCACCCTCAAGACTTTTTCAACACTCTCAAAACCCCCAAAAGCAAAGCTACAATTCTCTGAGCCTCCAAAACACAAAACCCAAGACTTTAAAACATGTGAATACCATAATTCTCTCTCTCTCTCTCTCTCTCTCTCTCTCTCCCTTTCTCTCTCTCTCATGATGTCACTGTGATGATTTGAAATAAGTTTTGAGGGAAAATTTTCTAGTTCCTTCTAAAATTTTCCAACGGCGTCGACATCGGCGATGAAACTTTCCTGGCGTTTGTTCATGAGGCAAAGAAAACCGTGATCTTGAAGACAGTGGTGACGAGTTGCGATGGATTCAGCGTCATCGTTCCGAAGAAAAAGACGGGAACTCCGACGACTCTCGATGTAATTTTTCTCTTTTTTAACTTGTACTTGAATCCTAGTGCTATATTTTTTTGTTATTTTACAAATTGTTGTAATTGTTTGAAATTGATGACTAGAGATTAAAGTAAAGTCTGTAAATTTATATATTATTATTATTTCAGTGTAATGAGTTTGTTGTTAAAGTTATGAGTTGGTTGTGATGGAATGTTACATGTTAGTTGTGAAGGTTACGAGTTGATATGAATGTTACGTGTTGGTTGTGAAGATTATGAGTTTGTTGTGAATGTCACGAGTTGTTTGTGAATGTTATGAGTTGGTTGTGTTGGTTGTGAAGGTTATGAGTTTGTTGTGAATGTTACGAGTTGTTTGTAAATGTTACGAGTTGGTTGTGAATGTTAGTTAACAACAATCATAATTAACTCATTGCTGAGGTTCACAACCAACTCATAACATTCACAACCAACTCGTAACATTCACAATCAACTTCCTATCGAGGTTCATAACCAACTCGTAACCTTCACAACTAACTCGTAACCTTCACAATCAACTCATAACCTTTAAAGCCAACACATAACCTTCATTCACAACCAACTCATAACATTAACAACAAACTCATTACAATGAAATAACAATTATATATAAATTTACAGACTCTACTTTAATCTTAAGTCATCGATTTAAAAAAATATATATAACAATATATAAAATAACAAAACAATATAACACTCAGATTCAAGTACAAGTTACAAAAGGGAAAAAATTACACCAGGAGACGCCAGAGTTCCTACCTTTTTC